AACATTATCAACACATCGAGCAGTCCGATTTTTCCATTCAATTTATTTGGCTCTGAATGGAATTGGTTCAGTGACCAGTGGTAAAAATTTGTTAGCCGGCACAAACAAACAGCTGATGCGGTCGAAAAGCATTTTTTTTTATTTGTGTTGGCCCGGTTTTTCTTACCGTTTTTGGTATGTTTATGTGATTGGCAGGCATATATAAGCGCTTCATTATGGCAAAATGAAAAGTGTTTCGCCTTCGTTTCGTTTTCTTATTCAACAAAGAAAGCCATACCAGAAATTATGCAAAAAATCAAAACGAAAGAAACCAAACTAAAAATCGAGTGACTAAAATCAAAGCAAAAGACTTGGACAACAATACACTTAACGATTGCATCGAACCAAAAAAAAAACATCAAGTGAAAGTTGACAGCTATCGAAAGATACATTTTCTGAATATCATTTTGTTCCTGAGGTGGTGAACTTGCAACAAACCCAAGAGAAAAATGGAAAGGGTATCAATTTTTGGGGTGGTGCCACCGATTAAGGTAATTGAAGTGATGCCGAAGGGTAAAGGTGTAAACTCGATTTGTTACAATGTAAGATGCTTTCATTTTCTCCAGATCAAAGTCTCTAAGAAAGTATAAATTTAAAGAGAATAATAGTACAACTAATATTATATTAGAACTATTATTTTTTAGGGGTTTTCCGCAATTTCTTCACTTGATATTTTAAAAACTTTCTTCACTCTTATTTCATGCTGGAAAATTTCTTGATTTAAAATAATAGGTTTTTCTTTCTTTGCGCAACCTTCACTTTAAGCAATGTTGGCAAATTGAAAAGCTGCCGCAATACCATTTTCAATGCATTTCATTTTCTTGGGCGGTGTTATAGTTTTGCTGTTTGTTGCTGATTTTTTGCAGCATAATTTTTACAACATAACGCCCACAACACTTTCTCGCATACTTAAGCGAATTATACAAAAAAAAAAAAAAAAATGAGCAACTGGAAAATGCAAGGAAAAAATAAGCAAAGGGAAAACGAAACGAGCACAGAAAAAGAAAGAAAGAAATATTTCTGTCTAGCATTATTTTGCAATTTCCCACATAATTATTAAGCGCCATAGTCAGGAGGAGGGAAAAGTAAAAAGTAAAGATATAGATATAGTGAAATGAAAGCAAACAAAAGCGACTAGTTTTTAATGCAAGTCGGGGGAAAAACATACACTTTAGCAAAGGTATTTTAAGAGATATTAATTAAATTTTAAGATCAAATTGTAAGAGTTTCAGAAGAAAGTCAAAGCCATCATTGACCACTCAATAAGTATCTCAAAGATGTTTACAACATTTTCTAGAGATTGAAAACCTTTAAAAAATTGCAAGAAAATATTCATAAATTCTTTCTAAATATTCACAGTGTAAAACTGAGTCCCAAAGGAGCTTCCTCCCCACCGAATGTGCACTGTACAGTAAATAATTTCATGCGCCGCCAAAAGAAGAGACAGCTAAAAAGAGATGCTGAAAAAATGCAAATATGATAATAATAATGTAAAAAAAAGGCACAAAAGCATGCCAGCACGTCAAGTGAAAATTAAGAAAGAGTCGTTCATGCTACACAGACACAAACACACACTCTGACAGAAATATAAAAGAGAGAGAAATGCACACACAGATACAAGATACAAGATACAAGCTACAAGCTTGAGCTACAAAACGTTGGTTTGCTTTGTTTTTTTTTTTTATTTCTAACAAACAACAGCAAAGAGAACTGTCGACTGTTTGATGAAAATTATAGCCACAGAGACCAAAAGTGGTAAGAAGAAAATAAAATCAAAGCCCGCGGCAGAGCAGACTCAAGGAGATCAGATCAAAACCAGTAGACAGGGCCGGAAACAGGTGTCGTCTTTCTTTGGCTAAAAGAAGTCTAGAAAACCCTACCATCCACTCATCAACGTCTTCGGAACGCATAAATAAGGCCTTAAATATCTTAGCTAGCTGCCAACTTGATGTTTAACTTTATATGGTCAATATCCGTTGAGCGGATATTACGGATATAAGACATTAAGAGGCATTCTTGAAACGCCATCTGTATGTCTCAGAAAATATTTAACATAACATAAAATCAAATCATAAGCCTGCTTATAAAAAGATTATTTTATCATAACTGCAATTATTTCATTTAAATTATATTTACATTTCAACTTTCTTTAAGTATATTTTTCCTTTAATTGTATTTTAAATTCATATCATTGACAAGAATAATAATTTTAATAATCTTACAACATTAAAAAATACTACTTAAATCACCTTTAAACCTTGCAAATTTCCTCATTTCTAAATATAATTGCTTAAAAACATTACCTGCACTTTGAAAAACATTAACCAAAAACTATTATCTCCACATAACCCCGCACTGATGTCACCTGAAGATGATCTCATTTAAGGCACTTCTCCGGTAACCAAATGAACCTCTCCCCAAAGAAGCTTAAAAGCCCGACATTATTATATTTATCCCATCACCCTCATTATATAGGATTATGCTTTGCAGCTGGACAAAAGGTGAGAAGAGCCCAGGTGAGTTTCTGAGAGCTAACCAATTGAATGCCAATGGAGTTTGATCCCAGAGCTCCAACCGGCAGCACGTTTCCACTCTTTCCATAGGTAAATGAACTCTTGGCAGACACCCCCTTTTTTCACCTGGTAGGTTCTCTAACGGTAACTGCGAATATGTACCTTTATATATATATATATATATGTACATCAGAGAGTGAGCTAAAGTTAGAAACGATTTTGCGGCTTCGCCAAAGTTCGTGAGAAAGCCAAGGCACAAACTGTAACAAAACTGATTACGACTAACATAATTTATGGCCAGCAGAAGCCCAGAAGAATTCTTTGTCGGCTGACGAAAGCCAAAAAGGGGGATAAAAGCAGGGGAGTAGGAGCTTAGGGGTATCCACTGATTGATTGATTGGGCTTCGAACCTAATGCGATTTTAACCAAGGAAATTCTATATGTTTTTTTCAGTATGTTGTGTTTATTTATTCATCCAACAAAGTTGAGGGGATTCAGTGTCAACGGAAAAATGCGAGGGTGCAGCAAAGATAAATAACAAATAAAAAGAGAGTGAAGTCTAAAGATGAAGTATATATGAAAAAATGAGATAATAAATTAGTAGTTTAGGGAACCAAATAAAATATACTTCCTATTGATTGTTTATAATAAAAGATATAAGATTTATATACTATAATTTACTATTAAAGCATTTTAAAAATTATCCCAAATGTTAGTTCTTTATTTTGTAATGCTTAAAATGTTTAAAGGGGAAAGAAACCTTAATTTTTGAGGGAATTCATCTTATATTTCGTTAATAGTTTCTAAGCAAAAGATACTTTTGCAAAACGAAATATCCCAGTAGTAAAAATCACCCAAAAAAACTGGTCATTTAACTTTAAATAAATGCAGTCAAAGGTGGTTGCTTGGGTTTCAAGTTTCAGTGGTCAAAAGTGAGTCTTGAAATGCCAGACGATGCTTTTGTTTCAGCTGAAAACATTTTACACATATTTTTATATACAAACAAAAAAAAAAAAAAAAAAAAAAAAACGACATAAAAGCGCAAGGGAACCGGCATTCTATTGAAATGGGAGAAAAAAACCTGTTTTCTCTGATGGGCTAATAATAATTGGCAGAAATAGGGGTGCAAAAAACAAAAGTTTCCTTTATTGGCATTGAATTTGGTGTAGGGAAACCTCTGGCAATCGATGATTCATTTATGTAGATAGGGTTTTCATTAATTAATTTTTACACTCAATGATTGATTTTTGATCACACAATTGGCTAACACCGCACAGACACTTTTGGGCCTTGTTTCATGACCAATTTTGGTAATTATTTCTCCTCCTCTCTCTCTTTCGATCACGAAGCGCGATCTAATCAAGATCACGAAGAACACGCAGAAAGCCAAAACACGAATCTACAACAGCGGAGAATTGAGAACGAAGACTGGAAAATACACGCAGAACGCAGAACGGAGAGCAAGCGGCACGTTAGCATTGAAAACCCGCCGCAAACTGAAGAGACGCCGCCACGAAATGAACTGCAGGCCGCTTTTTTTTATCGATACCAGAGATACATTTGTATCTACAACTTTACGCTCGTGCATTGAGAGCGCTCGGTTTCTCTTTGATGAGTTGAAATACTCTCAGCGAGCAGCTGCTTAAAAGCCGGTTCGCGGCTTAAAACTTTAGAGCATTCAATTCTAGTTGGAAGTTTCAATAAGTTTGATTCGAACTCAATTCAAGTTTGGGGTTTTTAGCTGCGGTTAGAGTCAAGTTCCATTTATCTCTTAGGTTGCGTGCCTTGAATGTTGCTGAAACATTTACTGCTTGTTTGAACTGCTTATCCCACTGCTTGTTTCAAACTCTAGCAACATGATCTTTCATTTGAATAATTAAAGCATACTTTTGGGAATTTCGAATTAATGAGAAATGTTGTTGAAGGTTTGATATTACAAATAATTCAAATGTTTAATAAACATTTAAATATATGGTTATTAGAGTTATTTATACTTCAATCAATATAGTTGTCATCAATTATCTTTTAACTAAAGCAATACAATTTAGGAAAAATATTATCCTGATTATTTAAAAACTTGAATATCCCAGAAATAGAATCGATTTAAGAAAAATATATACCGAACAATAAATATAATTTTAGAATCTATTTAACCATAGTTAATAAATCCTATTTAAAAAGCCACTATTCTATTTAAAAAATCCTTTTTAATATATAAACCTTAATTTAATAACATTTAAGGGAACCCAAATTAAGAAATGTTTAGAGATGTTGATTAACTTGTTTGAGGAGTTTGTTAAGGTGCTGTAGAACTTATATAGAGAACCCCCGTTCTAAAGTCTTAAGTTAAAATGATTAATGTCAAAATTCGGAAGCAATTAAATGGGAAATGTATCTTTTATATAACTTTATATATTTCTAATATTTAATTGTAATTTTTGTACTTACGCAATGGAGTTTTTGCCACTAATTTTGGTGATCCGCTTCCAGAAAACAGACGCTGATGCCGGTCCTGATGTGGCATTACACAACAAACTCAGGTCACTATGGGAGCTCTTGTGGGTATCCTTACTGTACGAGTGATTACTGTAACAAAGAGCATAAAAAGCAGTCATTAGTTACATTTCACATATAAGTACTTGAGACCCGTTTCCCCCAAAATTATTTAACCATTAATTTCCCAATAAGACAGCTTAATTGGGGCTTACAGAAACAATTAATTGAATAAATAAATTAATTCAGTGAAATTATGGCAATATAAAATGCCATATTAATGTCGTTTTTCCGCTGCTTTTTGAGCAAATCTCAAAACTTGAAAATTCACAAGGCTGTGAATTATTGCAAACATTCTTCAAGCGTCGCTGAGCAATCACAAAAAAATAAAACAGAAAACCAAACAGAGTTGGTGAAAAGTGGAAAATCAATTGGAAGACGCGTCAAATTTATGCACCACCTTTTTCCGTTAAGTGGGTGAAATTTCCTCTTCGTCGCCGCTGTAAAACTATTTTTTTCGCTAGCAATTTTTGTGTGTGTGTGTGTATTGTTTTTTTTTTTTTTTTACAAACAGCTTCCGCCGACAGCTCGCTAATTGAAAACTCGACAGAAAGAGAAAAAAATTTGAAAATTTTCAGCAGGAAACCGCAAAAGAAAAAGAAGAAAAAATGGGAAATGGCCAAAAGGAATTAGCGTTGCCAACTGCGTTTCCGTTTGCCAGCAACATAACTATAATTTTTCTGAGCTCATCCAGGCACAACTGCAAAAAAGTAGTAGTTTGTCGCCAGTCGTTGCAACAGCCACATCCCAATCGCATTTTTCATATTTATTTATTTACTCCACTTGCAGCAGCTTGGAAAAGCATTTAATTCAATTCTTGTCGCAATTAATGCAATTATAAATGATTAAAAAGTGTTGTTAATGCGTACGCACACAACTGAACGAATTGTCTAAAATGGTTGGTTGGGTTTTTAAGGAGTTAGGAAATAATAAAATAACACCAATTAGGAGTTAATAACAAGGTTACCATTTGTAATAAATATAATTAAATCGATTAAGAAAGAGGTAGTAGCAAGCTAATTACAGATATTTTGTTTAGTTAAATATAAAGTAGAACCATAGAAATTAATAATGTATAGAAGTAAAACAAAAAGAATTTATAAGCTTCATTTTACAAATTTATACAAAATTTTAATAAGGATATAACAATATAATTTATTTACGTTAAATATGTTTTGTTTCTATTAATAATTCTCCTATATTTTTACTCAAATTTTCCTGTCTATTTATTTACATTTTATAATTAAATGCACCAATGTTTTTAAATAAATTTATGAACCCCAAAAGCCAATACTTGGCACTTAAATATCTTCATAAATATGAGCAATGCTAAAAACTGAGTATAAGTAAACATTGCCACCTCATAAATCATCATTAGTTCAGAATATTAAACATTTTTTGCCTGGCAAAAAAACTGCGGTAAACACAAATCAATTTCTCTGCGAAAACTATGCCAAGTCATTTAGAGTTTTCATTATTTTTTTTTTGCAATGAACATTGTTTACAAGGCAAGCCCAGCTACCGTTTGGCAATGCATTATTTTCACTGCCAAGGTTTGCTTTCTATGTCAACCGTGTTGGGGCCTTTTAAGGCGCCGCCTTGGCCAATGCAGAAAATTAAATTGAAAAAAAAAAACAATACGGAAAATAAAGAAAATACCAAGCCAAGCCAAGCCAAGCCCCAAAAGAAAAGCAATGCATTTCCGCAAAAGAAGACTAGAGCATTAAAACAAGTCCATCAATTCAGGTAGGAAGTGCGGGTAATAAATGTAGAGTTTTAAGGCATTATTTAAGGGGGGCTGGAGAAAACCCATCGACTGACCGGTAAATAGATTTAATTATGCAAAACGCGAAACGAACCCATCGACACGCTGCCAAGTTCACTCAGGCGTTAAACATTGGCGGAAATCGGGCGAGAGAATCGATTGAACAGAAAGACTCAGATACGAGACGAAGCTCATCCGCTTTATAAACAAATTGTACACTTTAAATGGAGCACCGAACCGATGGGTCTTTAATCCCCACCCGCCACCCCCTGACGTTGTTATAAATATTTATTATATCATCCTTCAACCCCCATCATGCCCCAAGCCCATTTCAACCGCAGACAAAGTGCAAAAACTGAGGAGCCGTTGCAATTGCAATGGCCGTAATTAAAATGCATTATTAATGAAATGCAAATGTCGAGACATTACTGAAAATGAGAAGGCAGACTAAGACAGTGATTTTAAGCACATGCGGAAGTCGGAATGCTCTACAAGTGAAATCTTTTAAATACATTTTTCACTTCATATTTTGTGAAACAAAGAGTGGTTTCAATTGAAAATACTAACACTAACTAAAGAAAAATTTGGTATATTACAGCACTGAAATGAATACTGAATAAAGTAACAAATTAAAGCCTTTAAGATACAAAAATTTATTTAAATTAATTACGAAATATAGAATATTGTTGAACTACATTAAAGAATAATTTAAAGCCCCAAAAATATATTCTTTGCAGATTACGGGTGTACTATGTATGTATATCAGCAGGTAAATAAAAAACAAAACATTCTAAAGAACATTTCGTATATAAAATACTGAAAAATATCGAATATTGTGAAAAATTGTATTTAGTTTATTGTTTCTTCTTCACCTAATAAATTATTTCAATATATCAAACACAGCATTGATTCATGCCACAAGTATAATGATAAAAAACTTAGTTTTGTATCATGATTCGGTTAAAATGGAGAACCTGTACCACTGTATATCAATATTTTATTAAATTATTAATGCAGATTTTACTATATTTAACATTTTAAGTAAAAAATATTCTTTCTTCGTATATACCCTTCTTAAAAAGAGAATACCATCTACGGCAGACAGTCCCTTAATATCCCCAACCTCATGAGAAAATCACACTCACTGAAAGCCACCCTTCCCTCGTTTCACCTGTCGCGTAATTTTCCACCCCTTTCCACACCTGTAGAACCTCCCGTTAGTCAACGCTTTCCCTCATACAGTGACGGCGCTTACCCCTTTAGCAATTTGTCCTTGGCTCGAAGGTGACACTCTGGGCAGGCAGCCTAGACTTCATAGAAACCATTGTCCTGGTGGCTGTTAAGGACATTTTAGTAGCTACTATCTTCTTGTTCAATGTGGATTTTAGCAACTTTTATGAGAACGTTTTAAGTTTAAATAATAATCTTATAGACAAATATATATATATAATTTTACGTATCTAGTTCTTTGTTTGACTTCAAGAGCAATGCTAACTTTTGGGATGTATCTCTTATTATATTTTATGGAAATATATCAACAAAGAAGAAGCCACCTTAGTCAGGTGTTTATTGCACAATTTCCATGGTTCCTCCTAACCTTCATCCCTTTGATACTTGCTGACAATTAATACCTTTTCTATTTTTTTGCCAGTGGCTGCATTTTAATTGTCACAGCAACAAGGACCAAAGAGCCATGACAATATCCATAAAATTCTGACAACTAAGCAATGTTATTGTTTTTTTCCCCCCATTTCCTAATGGCATCCCATTGATCCTTGCCCTTTTGGCACAAGGGGAGAAAAAAACTTGTTCAAATGCAAACAAAAAAGGGAAAGAAACATAAATTGGTAGAGCAATTAAGCGACTTCCTCTCTCTCTCTCTATCTCTGCAACTTGAAATTGCAGCTTCCTCAATAATTCGTTGTTATTGCTAAGGCAACCGAAAGCCTCAGTTTTGCATTTTCCTTCCATGTATTATGCAATTGTTTGCCATCTCCCTTGATTCCGCCTCCAGCTGAAACAATTCGTCCTCTTAATGAGCTTCCATTAAACTTAATTGCAGTTGGAGTTCTGTTTGCTGTCCATTTTTGGAATGGGGAAGCTTAGTTTGCATTATGATTCCAACGTTGGCAAAGCGAAATTCAAACATTTCATGGGTACATATATATATATATATGAATATATGTACTTGTATAGTACACTCACCCAACAAGAGTTTCCTCTTTAAATTCTCTGGCATTTCCCATTTAATTGAGATTTGTTTGCTTAGTTAAGGCAACTAAGAGGGGAATGTTATAGATATTTCGATATAAGGTATTAAAATAATCAGGAAATATGATACATTTTATTTACATATCTCTTCTTTACTTGAAATATTTAAGTTATATAAAGGAAAGTGATTGAAAATTCTACAAATTTAGATCGATCTTAAAAGTCTTCAACAATGATTAACTTCCTTATAAAATATAGAAAAAATATGCAAAATATCTTCCATAATAAAGTATTTAGATATTTAAAGGGTATCTCACAGTCTCAATAATAAATCAACCGCTTTCAATCTCAACTCTTACCCATCATTGCAATTCCTATTGCAATGTCTGAGTGCCTTTGAAGTTTACCCCCTACAAACACACATATTGAAACATTATACATTCATCCCGTATGCCGTTGCCATATTCCGTTTGCATACTTTCACTTGGTCATAGCCAATTTGATTTAATGGCCAAAGAGTCTGACTTCTACTGATTGCACTTTGCATTGCCCTCTTAACCCCAAAAAGAATGCTCCGCCAATGTGGAATAATTAAATTGTTCACTTCCTTTTTTGCGGCACAATGAGTTCATTATGCGAATTCTTTGTAAATTTCATATATATAGAAATACATGTTTTTTTTATCTTGCGAAAGTTCCCATTAATCAATTCTTTTGTTCTAAGAAATAACTAGGTGAACCTTTGTTTTATATTATGCTGAAATCTAATTGCTCTATCCAACCACTAATAAACTCCTGAGACAATGAAAAGGAAATCTTTTAGAGGCACAGCAAGAAAAAAAGATAAAAAACTGTAGAATTTCCTGTCTTTTTTTATCTGTATGATTTTATTTAACTCGCGCAAAAGGAAAACAATTACATTTTCTTGGTTTCGATGGCAAACTGAATTCACTTTGGTGACAACATAACCAGACTAACAACTTCAACTGCGGTTCGAGAACGGGGAACCAGAGCACTATGAGAGTTCCGATCTAACCGACCAAACCAGACATCGAGGG